TTTCTTACCTGCCGACTTCCTTAAAAAATAAAATATTTGTGAAGAAATTAAAAAAATAAAAAAATGTATCAAATCATCTAGTGAATGTTTAGGATTTTTTTTTATAAATTTTATATTTTTTAAGTGTATTTAAATTAAATAAATTTAAAAAATAAGTTTTTTAATTAAAATATTAAAAATTTAATAAAATAAAAATACAAAATGAATTATACCCCTGATATTTTATTAATTTTTTTTAGTTGTACACCTTGAATTATAACTCTCACTTTACTAATTCTAGCCGCTGCCATTACCAATGCAGATGCAGGGGTCTTTGGGAAACACATCAAAAAAGTCAGTTTTTTTATTTTTTTTTATTTTTTCGCCAAAAAAAATCAATTTTTTTAATCCAAAATGATCTATTTTTTTGTCAAAAAAGTTATCAAAAATGTTAAAAAGCCAAAAATCGATTTTTTTTTATCAATTTCCCAAAACACCACACCGTGTTTAGAGTGAAGATATTTTACGGTGATTTTTCTTCAAGTGATTATACACCAATATAGAGTGTTTTGAAAAGTTGATAAAAATTATTTTTTTGACTTTTTTTACTTTATTTTGTCTATTTATAAATAAAAAATATGAAAAATAATATGATCCAAAATAGATAAAAAATTAAAAATTAATTTTTATTTTCTTTCCAAACGACCGCTAAGGTTAGACTTTAAAAGTTGAAAGGTACCATGATTGTCGTACCTTTTACTTTGATAAAATTAAACTTTGGTAGTGTAGTTTTGTTTATTGTTAGTAGTTACAAGATTAGTAAATTATTTAAAATGATTTAAATAAATATATTTTTTAATTTTTTATAAAAAGATATAAAATATAATAGAGAAATAATGTGATTCAAATAAAAATTAATATGATCTAAATTAAAAAAATAATAAAAAATATGTTATTTTAACACATGCCAAACAAACACTTGGTGTACCTTCTTTCGACATATTAGACTTTGAGATTGGGTTTGATTAAGTGGGCTTGCCGTTGGGCTCGTTTTGGACTTTTGAATTATTTGGGCTCATTGATTTTTTTTTTAGTATAGAGATTGTTAAATTATTTTTATATAAAATAAATAAAAATTAATAAAAAAAACACAAAAACATTAAACATTAATGTTTTTAAAAAAATGCCCAACATGTAAAAAATTTTAAAAAAATAAAAATAAAATAAAAAATTTTCAGAAAAAAATAAAACAAATGAAATAATGATTTTTACTTAACAAAAAATTAAATATTAATGTTCAAAAAAAAATGCCCAACATGTAAAAAAAATAAAAAATAAATAAATAAAAATAAAAAATTTCTAGTCCGCCAGACTATTTTTCTAATATAAAATCTTGGAGTCCTATCCGAATCCCCTTGGGGAGGCCCATCCCAATCCGTAGTTCACTATCAATCTCTTTCCCATCTATCAAAATAAAAACAATATTAGTAGATCTTATCTTACTACCCATCTCAATATCCCTTCTAACTCTTGAAACAAAAGGGGGCTAGGACTTTATGCTGTTGGCTTTATTTGGTGTAGGGGCTGAGCTGTGTTGCAAGGTGAAGACCATTTTCAATGGTTATTTAAATTTTTTATCAAATGAAAAATAAGTTTTTTTTTTTTTTTTGCTCTAACAATTGCATCAAATATACATCAAATTGAAAATTTTATTTTTCTTTTATCAAACTAAAGATAAATGTATTTTTCGTTAAATCACTGTTCATTAACGTTGCCGAATATCTTCCTAAATATCTTTCTAAATGACCACCTCAAAGCAAAAATATATGAAAAAATTGCACTGCTTCATCGACCATCTCAAAGCAAAAAAAAAAAAAATTTACAATGGTTGATCGACTTGCCAGATATTTGCTCAGTCGTTGGAATACTTTAATATCAATTTTTTTTTGTTTTTTTTGTTTACACCATTGAAATACTCTAATGAGGTAGTCGTTGGTTGTAACTTGTATTTTGGTGTTGTCTTTGTCGTCACTCAGAGCACGTTTTTCTAATGGGCAACGACGGCTCTGATTTTTTTGAGATCTAAAATCAATTTTTTATACATATTTAAAAAATAATAATTGTTATGTGTGTTTTTTTTTTTTTTGTTTCATTGAAATTTGACCGTCATCGTGAATAGGTTATTTTCATTACACATCTATTAAAATTTATATAAATATACATTAAAATTTATAATAAGAAAAATAATCAAAATAATATAAACTGAATAATCACAAATAAATAAATTGTCATAAAAATTACTTAAACATCATTTTTCTTGCATTTTTGGCTGTAAAATTATTAATCTAATTCGCATAATCCAAGTTATAAGTTAAATCATTTTTGAGAGATAAAATCACTAATTTATTTAATATTTCATTTGATATAGTTGAGCAAAGGTAAGATTTGATTAATTTTAATTTGAAAAGAATAACAGTAAGTAATATAGCCAATCGTATTCTATACATAATCTATACTAAGGTAGCAAATGAATGGAATTGTTCATGAACAAACTCAACTCTGCTTGTTAAGGGTTCGGCTCGGCTCGTTAAGGGTTCGGCTTGATTAGTAAACAAATTGAGCTCGAACTTAAATATTAGATTTGATTAGTAAACGAATCGAACTCGAACTCGAATAAGTTCGACTCGTTTATCTTTATATAAATTATATAATAAATATATTATTTATATATTAAATAATATATAAATATATATAAATAATAATATTACATTATTTATATATTAAATAATATTTTTTATTTAAATATTTTTATTTAAATAATATAAATAATATTAAAAAAAAAACTTATCGAGTAAGCCGAATTCGAGTTTAATTAATATTAACGAACCGAGTCGAGTTCGAACTCAATTATTTATTGAGCCAAGATCGAACTCAATAAACGAGTTCGATTAGTAAATGAGTCGAGCTTGAGTTCAGCAAAACTCGACTCTGCTTTGCTCGTTTGCAGTCCTAATCTATACATTCAGAAAATAATCATTTAATAATTTCAATTAATTCACCAAATCAATAAATTTTTTAGTTTGTTTCACTGAAAAACAAATATCTATTAATTTTAATAATTTACTACATCAACTATCTATTAATTTTAGATCATAACTGAATTTTGTTGAATCCTTCCAAATTTTAATGAGATTTTTTTTTTGTAAATTAATATAATAATTAATAAAATTTTAATATTTTTTTAGTCAATTTTCCAAGACCTAAAACGGTGACTTTGTAGTGTTTTAGGAAGTTGATAAAAAACTAATTTTTTGATTTTTTAATTTTTTTATGACTTTTTTGACAAAAAAATTGGATTGTTTTAGATTATAAAAAAAAAAAATACTGACTTTTTTAACTAAAAAATTAAAAAGTGAAAAAATTAACTTTTTTAAGTGTGTTTTCAAAAGACCCCTTTGTCGGCTTATGCGGAAAGCAGCCCTCCTAATGTGTACATTCCACACAGGGCTTATCTTCTAATGTGTGCATTTGGCATGAAAGGATGTCAATTAAAAAGTTACTAGACCTCGTTTGGGAGGTCGAGATTTAAATTTTTTTTGGTTAAAATAGTTATAAAATAATAAAATAAAATTTTAATTTAATAAGATAAAACATTATATCAAACTCATAATTATTATATTCTTTCTCTAAAAAAAAGTCAAAAAAATCATAAAACTTTTCTCAAACGAGACTTTTTGGCCTGGGCTAAAATAGTCAAAAAGTTAAGAAGTTAATCTACTTCCCAAATGAACCCTAAAAAAACAAGGATAACCACACTTCAGTGGTAGGTAGAAATAAAAAATATAAATCGATGGAAAAATTTATAATTTTAATTATTAATATTTATAAATTTTATTTATTTTTTGTAATTAGTTTTTTAAAGAAAAAATTAGTGAAACATCCCTCTCTAATGTTGTGTAGTAGGAGAGATCTAAGATATTTTTTAAATTAGTTAAAGTTCCTCAACATTTTTACAGAAAAAATTTAACTCAGAAAAATTTTGCCTGACTCAGAGAAATTTCAATTTTCACAGAGAAATTTTTTTGAATTCATAGAAAAATTTCAAAATTAAATTTCTCTGAGTCGGACAAAAAATTTTTAAGTCAAATTTTCTCTGTGAAAATGTTGAGAGACCTTAACTATTATAAAAATATTATATGTCTTTTATCTTATAAAATTTTAATATTAAGGATCTTAAAAAAAATTCACATTTTTCAAAATCTATTGATGGGATATTTTCTTTTAAAAAAAATTAGCATAAATTACAAATACAGTCCTCATATTTAAAATACAAATGGTCCTTTGTATAGTCTAGAAATTAGAAATGCCTCTTGTCAAAACTTCTTATTTAGCATAATTAATTAAAAAAATAAAATTATTAATTACTCTTTTATATAATAATTAAATTATTAAAGCATTTTGTTGCTGCCACAAAAACATAAACTCAAAGCATCATTTGTAAATTGTTGGCAGCACAAAACTCAAAACCAACTTGAGCAAGTAAAGTGTCCAAAATTTTCACCTTCTCATCAAATATAAACAAATTTTATTGGGTGTATTGGGTTACTTTAAAAAAGTCAAAAAATTAAAAAATTACTATCTTATTTAAGTCAGATCATCTTATTTAAGTCACATCACCTCTTTATCACATCACTTCAAACCTAACTCATATTTCACAAAAAATCAAAAAATAAACTTATTTAGATCATCACAAATCACCCATATTCACAAAATTATTTAAAAAGTTAAAAAGTGAGAAAAAACATACAAAAATAATATAATTTTTATCCTCTTTATTTTTTAATACGTTTGTTAATAAAAATAAAAAAATCATTTTTAAACACTTCAAGTTTTTTCATATTATATTTTAATTAAAAATTATTGAAAAAGTCACTGTCCAAACAGACGCATAGCAACATTTCGCTGCTACCCGCAACAATATAAATTCAATGCATCATTCCTTAATTGTTTGGTGCACAAAACTCAAAATAAGCTTCAGGAAGTAAATTGTCCTTAATTTCCACTCTTTCATCAAACATAAGAAAAAATGGCCACAAATAATCAGTGTAATGTGGCAGTGATTGATCTACAAGACTTTCCAGGGCAATCGAGGAAGATGATAGAGGCATGCGAGGAATTGGGTTGTTTCAGGATCACCAACCACCATCAATTCCTCCCTCCAACACTGTCGGTGGAGATGAGGGCGGTGATTCGGTCACTCTTCGACCTTCCGGTTGAAATCAAGCGGCGGAACACCGACGTCATCTCCGGCAGTGGGTACAAGGCACCTAGCCAAATAAATCCTCATTATGAGGCCTTGGGCCTTTATGATATAGCCTCTCATGAAGCTGTTAATGACTTTTGTTCTCTCTTAAATGCCTCTCCTCACCAAAGGTTTGTTGTTAGCTCTATCTTTCTTCTTAGTTCAGTTTTAATTTGTTATTCTATTCAAATTACACAGTAAAATTAAAAAATTTGTTACATATATAATAGCTGAAATAATGGAGACTAAAATAACAATTGAGTCTAGTATTTACCCTAGAGTTTATATTTTCTTGTATAAAATGTGACTAATGAACAATCAATTTCTTCAACTTGTAACTCCTGAACAAGATTGTTAAAATCGAAATCTTAGGTGAGATTGTTGGAAATGACTTACGGATCAGAACATAGAATTAGATTGAGAATCATAAGATTAAACTTTCAATACAAAATAAAATAAAATAAAAAAATTACCAATAATGATAATGTTTGTTAAATAATTTTAAAAACGTTAATTTTTTTTATTATATAATTCATGTTTTATGTAACTACAAATTAGAGGAGATGATTGGGGAAGGAATTTATAGTCAAATTTCTTCCATTGATATGCATACATACATATTATCATATTAGAAGAATTAAATAACAATACAAATATAATACATTTTTTGGTGCAATTCTACACTATTTTATGATTAGGATCTCACTTTAAGATCCTATTAAATTTAATTCACAATACGATTCTATTCGTTTGACTCAATTAAGGTTATAAAATAATAAAATCCTATGATTTGGATTGAGATTCTGATAATCGTTGCTACTGAATAGACATTAGAACTTGAACTTATATATTATAGTTTTTATTATTATTGATGATACAGTTATGATACAACGAGTTCCTGGTAGAACGGGTCGGACTGATCTACGCTTCTCGAGCCAATATTCGAGTGGTCAAGCCCACCTGAGAACCTGCACAAGAGTTCAACGGGGAACGGGGTGTCCCCCAGCAAACCCTCCGACGAGCAAGTTAGAGAGAGAGAAGTGGAATGTAGAGATATGAATTAGAAATAGAGAACTTAACATTTTTCTTGTCTTCAATGTCTGCTTATATCCTTTGGTAATCACTTCGTTGTCCCGTCCGACCTGTCACCTTGGCCAAAAATCTATGTTGTAGCTTACCTTGTTCAGGGTGAGGGTGTGTTGTCCCGACGGAGAGGTGTTGTCGTAATAAATGCTATGAAGGGCTACATTAATGGTGATGTGCAGTGGCAATAACTTTGCAGATCTTTGTCTGCTGAGGTGGCTTGCCCTTTACCTGCTACGTGTCTGAATATCATTGGTCCTTCATGTCATGTTGACTTCCAGCTGTGCTGGGCCTTATCAATTGGGTTATGTATTGGGCCCTAAGTGGTAGGCTTGGGTTGTTTATAGTGGGTAATGGCCTTTATGGGCCTACCCACGTCAGTAGTCTCCCATTCCCAAGTGCAGCTTTAGCCCAACAAAGGGAATAATGAGGAAGATGGGGATTGAAGGTCGAGTGGAAGGAACGGCCGATCAGAAGTGGCCGAGTAGAGGAACCCGCCATGAGGAGGACCGACCGCGAAGGGTAACCGAGTGGGGGGACCGACCATGAGGAGGGCCGACCGCGAAGGGTAACTGAGTGGGGAGACCGACCATGAGGGGGGCCGACCGCGAAGGGTAGTCGAGTGGAGGGACCGACCATGAGGAGGGCCGACCGCGAAGGGTAACTGAGTAAGGGGACGAACCATGAGGGGAGCCGACCGCGAAGGGTGAGGTTGCGGGGTGCGGGGCTCGAGAGGTGGCGAGTCACGTGATGACTTGAAGGGAAAAGACAGGGTAGGGGAAGGGGGCAGTGAATCGTGGCCGTACACGTGGCAGCATCTCGTGGTGGGGGGAGGTTAGGCGTTGGGCCAAAAGTGAAACGATGGGTCATAATGGGTGTTGAAAAGACAGTTTTGGCGGAAGGTTGAAAATTTTTCAAACTAGCAAAAATTAATTGGGACCCTTGGAATACAGGGAAATCTTGGGCTTTTGGGATTATACGTTTTACCTACCTTTTTTCGAAAAATCAAAACATTCCAAGTGTAGACTCTTTTGCTGCAAGTGATACACCCTTGCGACATTTTTTGAATTTCCTTGCACCTGTGTCCGAAGCGATTCATAGATACACCACAGAAATGGCCCAAGAAGAAGCTGGAACCGCCAAGGTTGATCCACTTGGGGATGATGACGAGGTGGAGTTGGCGGAGCAGTACAGGACGGAGAGACAAGTGGAGAGGGTGGGGGAGCCGGCGGTACGATCTCATTCTTCCACCATGATGGCGGCTCCAAAGCCAATCAGTCAGGCGGAACCAGATCATTGGCACACGAAGGCTGACAAATCGACGGTGACTGCGGTGGAATTGGAGGGTATGCGCGAAAAATACCAGGTTCCCGCTGAAATAGAGCTACTATTGCCGACATCAACGGAGAGGCCATTCGACGCCCGGCCGAGGGAGTTTGCCCTTTACAAGGAAGCATTGAAGGGAGGACTGAGGCTGCTGTTTCCGCAAGTGGTGGTAGATGTCCTGAACCGGTTGGAGGTGGCGCCGGGCCAACTAATGCCCAACGCGTGGAAGATTATTCTAGCTTGTGCAAGCGCGTGGCCGAAGGCGAACGAAGGGGCGGCTATGACGGTGGATAAGTTTTTCGCGTGTTATAAGTCCTCAAGATAGCAAGAGACATGGGTGACGTTACAGGCGGCGGCAGGGAGGGGTTTGGTGACTGGTTTGCCGTCATCAATTAAGGGGTGGAGGCCGCGGTGGTTCTACATTTCCATGAATGGAGGGGTTGGGGTGTGCACGGTGTGGAGAGTGCCCACCAAATCTATGGAGCCAAAACTGGGGACAGCAGGAGAGGAGAGAGTAAAGAAGGTGAAGGCATGGAGGGAGAAGGAGGAGTCAGGTGGAACGAACTCGTTCAACCTTCGGCTTTGTTTACTGCGGGGTTAGGCTTCCTTCTTCCTCATATTTTCGGAGTTCTTCTTCCTCATATTTTCTAAGTTGGTATCAGAGCAACAAAAAACGCAGCAGCCCTAAAACCGTCATAGCCATGTCGGAAGTCACGTCCGAAACCACTTCAACCCCTGCCGCTGCCATTCCGGTGAAAACGTCCAACTCTCACTCTGTCCAAATCACCACCATCCGCCTAAATGGTGATAATTTTCTCCGCTGGTCACAATCTGTCCATCCTATACAATCTATATATAGAAGAAAATGTGGTAGTAGGTGTAGTGGAGGTGATAGTGGGTTAGGTGAAGTGGAGTGTGTGGTGAAGTAGAGGTAGGTGAAGTGGAGTGTGTAGTGGAGTAGGTGAAGGTAAATTCTAATAGGCCCTCAGCCGACCAGTGGGGACTTGGAACCAGCGGAATTAGAGGCGAAAAGGAAGGCGCAAGAGGTGGAGGATAGGTCCATTCTCGCCAAGGCCAGCAAATTCAAAGAGTCGCAGGCAGACCGGCCGCCGAAGCCGATCGCGTGGGAGAGGATCCAACCGCGCCCCAAATTGCTGGGGGAAAAAAACTTGAGTGAATCTGAGCCACGACCGCCCCCAATTGATCCTTTGAAGCAGAGGGCCAACAAGGAGATGGAGATGGAGGGTGTGGGGAAAAAGAAAAAGAGAAAAGTGAGGAGGGGTAAGGAGGAGCCTGCCTTGAAGAGGAGGAGGGAGGTGACGGCAAAAGAGACCCCCATGGCCAAGGAGGCAGAGAAGGAGGGAGTGGGGCAGACCCCAGGAAGGGTGGTTGCCCCAAAAATGGTGACAGTCGCCTCGGAGGTCATGGAGGTCGTCCCAGTAGTGGTGGAGATCGCCTCGGAGGTTGCAGAGGTCGCTCCTAAAATTCAAGTAGAAGGTGGGGCAACTGGCCCGGAGGCAAAAGGAGAGGAACAGCCCCAGGGGGGTCCTGCGCCCCAAGGAAGGGGGGTGAGGCCAAAGTATGCCATCTACCATCCTCCAGCAATTTTTGGTCGACTGGAGAGAGAAGAAAGCCCAGCTAGGACAACAGCGGATCTTCTTTTGGGGGTGGTGGACGAAGGAGCCGTGCGTTCTGCAGCCAGGTTCAATAAAGCGGAGCTGCTAAGGGGGTTGTGCTCTGCCCAAATGGAGGCAACCACCCTAGTAGGGGCTCTACTGAGAAAGGCGGCGGCTACAAATGCCAAGTTGGAGGAAACGAAGGTTCAACTTGTAAGTTTCAAGAATGAGAGTGCAGGCTGGAAGAAAGCTGCGCGAAGCACCTGCACCAGGGGGTGGAGGAGGCTCAGAAGGCGAAGAAAATAGAAGTGCTGCCGATTGTGCAGTGTAATATTACCACTCGAATGGGTGCTGAGCCGCTCGCGGCCCAGTTAGAGTTAGAGGACGAGCGTCGTAACGTAGTGTCGCTCGAATTCCAGCTGGCTGGTGAGCAGAAAAGGGTGAAAAATGCTGAAAAGAGCTGCGCAGTCGCCGTCGAGCGGTTTGAGGAGGCTATGACCAGTAATGAAGATCTGCGCGCCCAACAGATCAAAGAGAATGATGAAGCAGACCTGAAGATTGCTGGGCTGCAGAAGGAGCTGGAAGATGAGCGGGCGAAAGCAATAGAGGAGAAGGCGAGGTTGCAGAAGGAGTTGGAGGAAGAAAGAACCAAGGCAGCCTCTAAAAGGGCAGCATACCCCGATCTATGTGTCGCAGCAGCAGAACAATTCAAGGAGTCTGCTGAATTTCAGATGGCAATCGATGCCGCGATCGTCAGCAACTTGGCGAAGGAGGTGGCTGGAGGGCCAGGCACGTCGGGGGCGACCGCTGGGGGCAGGACTGAAGCAGAAGTTATTGAGAGCTTCCAACGGTCGGACTTCTACAAACATGAGATGGCTGAGTTCTGGAACAGCGGGTGGAAGATGTTCAAGCGTAAAGTAGAAGAGCTGTTCCTAGACTTAGACTTCAATGGTGTTAGAATCGATGAGGACGACGTAGCCCAAACCCCCCTAGATGAGGGGATTGAGGAAGGAGATCTCGCCTCGAGTGAAGGAGAGGAGTGAATGGAGTGAAAAAATATGTAATTAAGAGTTTTGGTTGTGTTGTTTTTTTTTTTTTTTTTGAAT